CTGTCTATAATGTCTGGGGGGTACTATCTGTCTATAATGTCTGGGGGGTACTAACTGTCTATAATGTCTGGGGGGTACTATCTGTCTATAATGTCTGGGGGGTACTATCTGTCTATAATGTCTGGGGGGTACTAAATGTCTATAATGTCTGGGGGTACTAACTTTGAAATTGTGACAAGTATAAGTGAATAAGAAGAAAGCTTCTCGGAATGGTTGTTATGAAGATTATTCATGTATCTCAAATATCATCCTATTATTAATTTTGTAAATGGACCCAATAAATGTTCTGTGACAATGATGATACAGATGTACTTACGCTGTAGACTTTCTACTGCTGACCACACTCTTGTCCTGTTCCAACATGAGCCTGAACTTCCTTTCTGTGCTGTTCGGCCCCTTCTGACTGGCTCTGGTTCTCTCCCTAAACAGAGTTAGTTTTGTCTCCTTCGCCAGATTCCTTTGGTTGACAATACGAATAGCAGGATTTCTAACTGAAGGGTCTGAGTTGGCAAAGCTGTCAGCCATTCGAGGGTACGTCTTACCCACCGTCTAAGAGGAAAAACACAATACACACATAAACAGCATTTACTTAGGTTAATCCATCAATGTTGTTCTTCAAATTAATTTTTAAGATGTTATATAGTGATAACAGGTTGAGATATACTATATAACATATTGTACAGATCTACCTACAAAGACTGTTGTTATTATTCAAACTAATCTTTCCTATCAAAAGTCTATAATACATCCTAGTATATATATGCAACAGGAAAGAGAATAGTGTGCTTCCACCGGGGATCAACCCTCGATCTCCAGGTTCCTAGTCGGACGCTCTACCACTGAGCTAAAGGGAAATTCCCCCTAGCTCGAAGCAAGACGGCGACCTTAATCCTATGTACAATTGAACCCTGCCACATATATAATGAGTCCCTTTGATCACAACCAAGAAAGCTGTTGTGACCAAAGCAGCCATCTTTGATTTGGATTAAGCAAAAACAAAAAAGTCACCATTTGTACCATCATGATGAATTTCTTGAGAAACACCATATATATGGATGGTGTTGTTCATCTCCATTGGAAACTTTGTTCTGCCCTCTGTATAAGTTACACAATAAACACAAGGCTACCAGTGTCTGTCCTCATTACTGAGCACAAAACACAAAACAACGAACCATCAAATACTTTTCTGTTTTCTTTTAGGAGACTTTTACAATTAAAGTATGAAGTATTGGGTCAGATATATTAGCAGATAAGTATGTTAAAAAGTTGATGCAATTCGCTATCCAGACAGTAATTTTGTAGACAGATTTATCTTTTTCTATATTATGATGTCCAAATAATCCAGCCCTGTCCACTTTATATAAGCTGGAAATGAAAGTGGCTGAATATGTGTAGCCCAACAGCATGTACCTGTATACCACTGTCTACACAATTACAGATTGCTTATTCTAAAATTAATTATAATTAATAAAACAGACTCTAGAATATCTCCAATCATACACACTCATAGTCATCCTTACCGTTCTTGTGAGGGGAAGTAACTCTGGGGGAGGAATAGGTTTTGGGTAGTATACAAGACGTCCTGATTTTGATGTACCTAGTCGTCTATTGTCCAGTTTGGGTAAAACTGGGGTCTCTATGGAGTCAAGTGTGTGGGAGCGCAATAAGTCCTGTGACTCTACTGATGCCTGAAACAAAGTGGTTAGGTCATGCACATGCTTCACACATGCTTTGCGTGCAGTGTTACATTATAGTGTAAAGATAGGTACTATTGAAAAGAAGTTAATTATTAAATTTTTAATGCTTTAAAACTAGGGTTTTTTATCTTGTTTATATTGATGATTATATTCATTGATGATTCAACAAACCATTTTAATGTAAATTAAATACTGATGTTAAAATTTAAATTAAATTAACACTATGACGGAGCTCTTCTTTTTCTCATTACAGGTAAGAGGTCATGCTATTTTACATGCAGTGTTACTGTATATTGGAAATTTTCACCCCATCAAAATTGTGCCGTTTACTGTTAAAATCCATATTCTCCAAGTGTTAATTTTACCCTTCAAATGTAATGACTATGTACAGTATGCTGTGTAGTAATATTCACTGTCATGGAAATTTTGTGAAGGAGGCAAAAGTAAATATGCGGTAAAAATTTCCAAGCATACAGTATATTTAGTCTCGGGTGTATAAACATTTTTACAGATATATCTTCAATGTTAAAAGTATATAAAAAGGTATGTGCTGTTACAATACCTTTGGAGCCAGGGCTGTGGAGGCTGAGATAGAGGTGGTCTCTTTACTGGCCACTGTAACAGACACATACATTCAATAACCACACAGACTGGTACAACAAACATATATCAACAGTAATCACAGATACAAAACTCTACAGTCAAGTATCTTACACTTAACTCGCAAATTCCTCTATCAAGTATCTTACTTAACTCACAAATTCTACTATCAAGTATCTTACACTTAACTCACAAATTCTACTGTAAAGTATCTTACACTTAACTCACAAATTCTACTATCAAGTATCTTACACTTAACACAAATTCTACTATCAAGTATCTTACACTAAACACAAATTCTACTATCAAGGATCTTACACTAAACACGAATTCTAATATCAAGTATCTTACACTAAACACGAATTCTACTATCAAGTATCTTACACTTAACTCACAAATTCTACTATCAAGGATCTTACACTTAACACAAATTCCACTGTGAGGATTCTTGATGATTCTTCACTAAACACAAAAGACACTAATATTCTCAACCTAAACATGTAACACTCTTACCATCAGGACAAGCACAGAAAACCATGTCAATTATGCTGATGATGCCTACCAAGCTTCAAGCAATCAGATTAATACTGAGGGAATAGTTAACTAAATAAGATTTCTATGCTAAAGATTTCTATGCTATGAGTCAAAATAGGCTATTATTCAATGTATAAATACAATCATTATCTTGCAGTTAAAGTTTGACTGAGGGCACTATGTTTTCATTTTAAACAATAACTTACTTTGTAGAACACATTTCTGAACAAAGGTAATGTGTTGTGAAGATCATTGATTTCAAAATTGTTGATTCAAACTTACTACTGCTCTGTAGTAAACTGCGTTCCCGTCGGTCGGACGCCTTTCTGGTAGGACGTACAGACAACATGGCTGCCTTGTAAACCTTGTCATACATACGGTGGAGTTTTGTGGCTAGTTTGTCCAGATCCATTTTCTGTGATGAAAAAAAGATATATAATGAATTATTCTGAGCTATCGGTAAAGCTAGCCTAAAGTAAATATTGGTTAGGTTTTACTGGGTAAGCTGACCAATGCCAACTGATACCACTTATCCCAGGGAATTGAAATTTGATTGTATTGTCTTCGAAATGAAGAAAAGCCATTGTTTGAAATATGCACTAAAACTGGATGTTTTTTGGATACGTATCTACTTGAATAGATCATCCTGTTATCCAGTCCAGTACTGTTTCCCTACATAAACCATACTAAATTGTTCCCGATGTGTCAGTCAATGATAAGTAAGAAAAGGTCTCAGAACCTTAAAACATTATTTCATCCTTACCAAGTGATTTCTTAAATAAACTTTTTGCTGAAAACATGTCTATAAACACCTATAAATGAGTTTCTGCTGTCAGTGGATCAATGATGATTACAGCAACAAGCATTTAGTTATCTAAATTGTTCAATATAGAAGCAAATTCATTATGCTGATTCTGGTCAAAGAATGTTTGCAATAAAAATCTCCCTACCAAAAAATCTCCCTATCGGTGGGAGAGATATCTCCATACCAAAAAATCAATCTCCCTGTCAGTGGGAGAGATATCTCCCTACCAAAAATCAATCTCCCTGTCAGTGGGAGAGATATCTCCCTACAAAAAATCAATCTCCCTGTCAGTGGGAGAGATATCTCCCTACAAAAAATCAATCTCCCTGTCAGTGGGAGAGATATCTTCCTACCAAAAATTCAATCTCCCTGTCAGTGGGAGAGATATCTCCCTACCAAAAAATCAATCTCCCTATCAGTGAGAGAGATATCTCCCTACCAAAACATCAACCTCCCTATCAGTGAGAGAGATATCTCGCTACCAAAAAATCAATCTCCCTATCAGTGAGAGAGATATCTCCCTACCAAAACATCAATCCCCTATCATAAGGAGAGATATCTCCCTACGAAAAAATCAATCTCCTTATCAGTAGGAGAAATATCTCCCTACCAAAAAATCAATCTCCCTTTCAGTGGGAGAGATATCTTCCTACCAAAAAATCAATCTCCCTGTCAGTGGGAGAGATATCTTCCTACCAAAAAATCTATCTCCCTATCAGTGAGAGAGATATCTCCCTACCAAAAAATCAATCTCCCTTTCAGTGGGAGAGATATCTTCCTACCAAAAAATCAATCTCCCTATCAGTGAGAGAGATATCTTCCTACCAAAAAATCAATCTCCCTATTAGTGGGAGAGATATCTTCCTACCAAAAAATCAATCTCCCTATCAGTGAGAGAGATATCTCCCTACCAAAAAAATGAATCTCCCTATCAGTGGGAGAGATATCTTCCTACCAAAAAATCAATCTCCCTGTCAGTGAGAGAGATATCTCCCTACCAAAAAATCAATCTCCCTATCAGTGGGAGAAATATCTCCCTACCAAAAAATCAATCTCCCTATCAGTGAGAGAGATATCTTCCTACCAAAAAATCAATCTCCCTATGAGTGGGAGAGATATCTCCCTACCAAAAAATCAATCTCCCTATGAGTGGGAGAAATATCTCCCTACCAAAAATTCAATCTATTCGTTGAGGGGGAAAACATCACTTGTATGCTGATATATATAGAGAGAGAATGTGAATACTGCACCCTGTATCAGGTATCAGCGTCGCCTTAAAACTTACATGGATGTCCATGATGTCGGTACCTCCTGTGCTTGGCTCCCTCCATGGAAGTACCACATACCTTTTATCAGCTTCAAAATAATGTAAAAATGAAATCATCTTTATATCAATATACTTACTAATGCAAAACTGTGTATAGTTAATGAGAATCAGTTTCTGTTTAATATTTAAATCTCTGTCAAAAATAGCAACTGATTCAAAGATTATGACAATTGAAATCCTGAAGATTTTTTTACTTCAGTGAGATTATATACATGTTTTTTTTAAACTGCAAAAACAGAGGTATTGCTGTCATAGGGACGATTTTTATATAACATTTATAAGTAACATACGTCGAGGAAGAAAGGATCCTGGGACAGCTAGCCCCATCTGGTGGTATGACAGTGGATCTAACTGACACATGACATCTGCATACTCCCCGTACTCAAATCTATGGTGCTCAGACAGCCAGTATTCCATCACTAAGTCTCGCTCCTCTTCCGCAATCTCACGCAGGAATGCTAAACGACACACCAGATTTCTTAGATTATAAACATATTTCTTTTTAATTGAACACATGAAATTTAATTGATACTTCTAAAATGTTACTTGATAGTCTTTCACCTAAGTAGCATAGCTTACTTACAGCATAGCAAAATATCAATTGCATGATAAGTCTACAGTATGACAGTTGTACTACTGATTCCACTTAACCCCTCGCCCTCCCTATTGTTTGAGGTGTTAATAAATCATCAAGACATTTAAATAAGTGTCTACAATTAATCTAGAAACTGCTAGAAAAGCTTTGCAACAATATTTGCTGAACAGCTTACCTGGTAGTTAAAAAGCATTTTTTCAAACATGAGAATACAGATCTTTTACTAAGCAAAGGTTTTATACATCTAGGATCACCTGGGATATTATCATTACTAATTACATATATATATAGGTATAATTGTCTGCCCGACTACCAGTTATATTGTCAGTTTTCTGATTATTCCCTTTATATAACACCTTAACATATGCACATCGACAGGAAGCACTCACAAGTTAACTGACGGAGTATTATTAGCAGTGATTACAGTCCAGTTAGTTTCCTTCACTACCAGTTATGATTGTTGGGTCGATCAATCTACACTTCACAAATTTAAATCGGATCTAAAGTCTGTGTGGACACATTGACTTTCAAAAATTACAATTAGTTCCTTATTGGTTCACCACTTGATAATTATAGCTTTGTCACCCTTCTAATTTGTAACACTCTTTCTGATTGGAGATCTTGCCGGGGTCTATATATCTATAGACCCCACTCTGACGGGGTCTATAAAAGCATGTGCGAGGGGAGATAACTCAAAGTAGAATCTCTTTTCATAACAAAAAAGATGGCGTCTATCACACACACAAGCGTTCCAGGTGTGCCAATCATTCACAGGATGAAATAGCCTTCTTTGCGATAACTTAATTGACAGCAAAGTCAACGATATAGGCAATGAGGGGCCGCTAGGGTGCTAATTACAAAGATTAGGGTACTTCTGTTGTATCATAAATAAACAGCTGGGGTCTACATGATTGATATTTTATATTCAGGTTTTATTCTTTATCAACATAGTAATTGGTATGCAGAAAATTCCCCCTGATAACTTAAAAATGAACATTGTTTCTCTCTGGTTGAGGGTGAGAGTCTTCTTCATCCGCCACATAACGGTTGTAGATAACTAAGGTCTTAGTCCCACAACAAAACTTAGGTTTATCAAATCGATCAAGATGCTAATTGTCAATTTTTATAGGATGGTAGCCATGTTTCAGCGTCTACATTTTCAAATTATTAAATGATTTCTTCCACAATTCATTGGCAAAGCTGGTCACACATTTAAAACAATTATCAAATAAATATACATTAACATCAATCTTCTATATGATGTAAAGCTTGGCAATTTTGTAGCAAATTAAGAAATGTTTACTAAGCAACTAAATATACGATTTCATTACATACATGTATAGCATAAAACAATACTGCAATGATTAGCCACTGGTATGGGTTAGTACACAACTACATGGCTGGACTCAAGCCTACACAGCAATCCTACTACATGCATATTGTATAAACAAACCATTTCCTCAACCACAAAATCAATACTAGTATATTAATTAAAAAATTGTCAACACAATCCAACAAAATCCTTGATGACTAAAACCACATAACTTCACCATGCATACCATCCTGAAGCTACACAGTGATACTCTACCTGGCTGGTACTTCCTCAACATCTTCTTCCTATGACGCTCTGACGGCAGTGTAGCACAAGATCATACAATATTCCAGGGTAAACAATTTTAAATTTAGAATACTACTTCTAGACCACAGGTTGATTTCAATTTTATAATAAATATTGAAAATTTTCACCAGCCCCATTATAAAATCTACTAGTCCCGAGTACCAGGCTATTGGAATATTGTACACTCCTTTATTAAAGTTTAAACTACCTATCTATAAAGAGGAAAAGACAATTGTGTAATGGACACATGCCTTTAGAGGACAGCTCTAAATAAAACAAACCTTTATATAAAGGATACCTCTTTATAATGGACAAATTTGTAATTACAACACCTATGTATTAATGCCACCTTTATATCAAGTCTACCTTTCACAATATACTCTATTTACCGGTATATATAGGATATTCCAAACAAATCTAATAAATTCCTATTTAAGAAAGAATCTAGCAAGCTAAGTTAAAAATGTGTGATGAGTATCAAGTTTCATAATTTGCACATGAAATAGAAAGTAATTTCTGATTATTTTTCAACATGTGCTTATCTAAATTCTGTCATGTCAGTTCTATATCTATAGCCTCCATTATGACGTCAGAACATACAGGTAGTGTGTATCCTATGTTAGTAATAGACTGGGGTGTTGACATCTATTGCCATCTGTCTCAAAACCTGTATCCCTCTACAGATCAAACCTACGCTACAAATAAATGTTTGCTGTAAAATTGCTTTTAAATTAAACTTCTGGATATGACTAGGCAAACCACCGGTAACTAACTTTATAATTATCTATATTTGTATATAAATTGATTTTAACTTTTGATTCCCTTACTTGTATTTATACCGTTAATGATACAGATTTTATGAACTTTGCTCTTTTTGGAGGATTCGTCCAAATTTTCCTAGGAATTCTGGGGTAAATGGTAAATAATTTACAATATTATTCGAAAATTTTGCTGTTCTTTTTAAATATTTTAATGTATATTTTTTGTAATGCATAAATAGTTTTGGTCTGTCTCTTCTTTGTCTTATAAAAAGGAGCGGGCTGTTCTGAAAATTTGACATATACCATGTACAAACTACAAACTACAAGTGTATGGATATAAATGATATAAATACAGACAAACTGAATTTTAATAACCAAACTTGTCTTTACACTTTATTCTATGGTATTTATAAGCTTTGCCAAAAGAACACAACTTAACTAATAAAAGTCAAACTAAAGATGCCCTTTAACAACAGTTTCTACTGCTATGACTACTTTAACAATATAACTTAATCATTTCATTTATTTATATATGAATCATACTTTGTTTATTCAGATAAAGGAAAACATAGTAAAACAAACACTACAACATGCTGTGTTTAAATCTAAATGTTTTTTTTTTTCTAATTAAGTTTTGTTATTAAAAATCAAAATCTAATGCACTCCGTGCAATTCTTCTCCATGCTTCAAACCACACAATAAACTTCATACCAGACTGATCCATGCAATAAAACCCCACTTATTGTACCATGATTACGAGGTCGGAATATCATTACAGTGTATTACAAGATGCAAGGTGAAACTTACTTTTATAACCAAACTACATAATACACACATAGATAATTAAACTAAAAGTTTGAATTACGATCTACTAAAGAAAAATAAAAGTCAGAAGAAAATTTCTGTTTTGATTTGAAGATATAACCCTGAATACCAAGTAATCTATAACAAAACCCATTAAACACTGTAAGTAGATCTGATGCTAAATTCTACGATAAAACTTCACATTAATTGTGATTTGGTTGTCACTCACCTGCTCTGGTGTCCTCCCTGCGAGGTGACACAATAGTGACACGGGACTTGGTTGTGGTGGCCGATACCTCTGTGATAAATGTCTGCCCTCTCTTCTCCTCCATGTTCTCTAAGTCTGTCACCTTGTCCTCTGCTTCCCTCTCCTGTTCCACCTGCTCCTCAGTTTCTTCTGACTGTTTTGCCTCTTCCTTTTCTTCTAATACTTGTTCACCTTCCTCTTCATTATCCTCATCTTCTCTTTCATCATCCTCATCTTCTTCTTCTTCATCATCTTCTTCTTCTTCATCATCACTTCTCTCCTCTGATCCTGATGATGTTTCCTCTGATCCAGAGGACGTTTCTGAAGTCTCCTCCGTTTTCTCTTCATCCCTTTCTGTATCATCTTCTCCTGCTGCTACATCTTCCTTTTTCTATACAGAAATATTTGTAAACTTTACTCTAGATAGTTGTCTTAAGCGCCAGGCACTAAAGGTGTTTTTTTTCAGAAAGATAAAACCAAACAGACATGCTTACAAATAGAGGCCCTGTCCAGCTAGAGAAATAATAAAAACATTGATAATGGTTTTCCCAAAGGCACTATAGCCTTAGTATCGTTATAATCACTATGTACGATGAACAACTGGTAATAAGCAAACAATTAAACTCCAAGAACAGAAAATTAATATGCATGGCCAATATACACATGTATGTATGTAAAACCAATGAACCACAAATATACAGTCATTGAACAAAATATATAAAGTCAATGAACACATATGTATAATGAACAACATGTAGTCATAAACAACATATGTATAATGACAACGGACAACATATGTATAGCCAATGAACAACAGTCAATGAACACATATGTAGAGTCAATGAACAACATGTAGATAGTCAATGAAAAATTATACAGTCAATGAACAACGATATGTAGAGATAATGAGCCCTTCAGTTGAAGTATTCTTTTGACAACTGAAATCCCACAATTTCCCCTATTGGGCCCTTTCCATCAGCCATCATGGGGACCATAACTTTTTATAAAAAAAAAGCTTGATTATTTGTTTCCAAGGATTCATTACAAATTTCCTTGAAATCTTTTCATTTGTTTAGGAGGAGTTTGGTTTTAAAATGTTGATGAACAGACAATGGATGCTGTGCCATGGCATAAGCTCACCAGTCCTCTGGCCTAGGTTAGCTAGAAATGAAAACAAATCTATATCTTCTCACCTCTTCCTTGTCACCTACTGCCAAGGTAGGTTCTGACTGGTCTGCAGAGCGGGGTGTGAACTCCCGTTTATCTTTTTGAAACATGGTTGGTAGTTCACCAAGATGATCATTGGCCTCTGATCCTCCTTCACTCTGACTGGCCACACCCTGGTCTGGGGATCGGGCCTCACTTTCTGATTCCTCCTCTGTCTCTGCGCCCAGACCTTCCTGTTTGTAGATATCCCTGTTTTGAGTCATAGAGGAGGCTGAGGAGGGGGTGTCCATGAGTCCAGCACGTTGCTGCTGCATCTGTCTATAGTCCTCTGACTCACTGAAGGATGAGTAGCCATGACCTCTACTCTCATCCTCCGAGTCTGGGTGTCGAGACTGTATAGGCGGTAACATACGCCTTCCCATAAACACTTCATCACCATCACTCATATCATCATTATCGGACATACCAGACCTGAATGTTGTTCCACCCCTTTCCTCAGATCCTCTATTTCTGTTTGGTCTAGGAGGTTGACCCTGTTGGTACCAAATAACATTAATTTTCTATATCTTCATCAGAAGTAAAATGAAGTATGGCAGCAGAAATGTCGGTTCACCGATCCAATATTTCTACAGTAATAACATGCCTGGTATTCCACAGACGGTATGTATATTTCAATCATTCTGATGTTGAATTTGCAGGAAAACTTTGCAAATTATCTGCTATAGTTATATAAGGGAAAATGCAATGCCCAGACAACAATTCATAACCGAACCTCTTAACTTTAGACAGAAAACCAGTTCAGATGGACAACTATTGACCCAGTCCAGTTCCTGCTACTCTATTAAACCTAGTGGACTTTGGTATTAAATCTAGTGGACTTTGGTATTAAATCGAGTGGACTTTGGTATTAAATCTAGTGGACTTTGGTGTTAAATCTAGTGGACTTTGGTATTAAATGTGCTGGACTTTGGTATAAAATCTAGTGGACTTTGTTATTAAATCTGGTGGACTTTGTTATTAAATCTAGTGGACTTTGGTATTATATCTAGTGGACTTTGGTATTAAATCTAGTGGACTTGCGTATTAAATCTAGTGGACTTTGGTATTAAATCCAGTGGACTTTGGTATTAAATCTAGTGGACTTTGGTATTTAATCTAGTGGACTTTGGTATTTAATCTAGTGGACTTTGGTATTTAATCTAGTGGACTTTGGTATTAAATCTAGTGGACTTGCGTATTAAAGCTAGTGGACTTTGGTATTAAATCCAGTGGACTTTGGTATTAAATCTAGTGGACTTTGTTATTAAATCTAGTGGACTATGGTTTTAAATCTAGTGGACTTTGTTATCAAATCTAGTGGCCTTTGGTATTAAATCTAGTGGACTTTGGTATTAAATCGAGTGGACTTTGGTATTAAATCTAGTGGACTTTGGTGTTAAATCTAGTGGACTTTGGTATTAAATGTGCTGGACTTTGGTATAAAATCTAGTGGACTTTGTTATTAAATCTGGTGGACTTTGTTATTAAATCTAGTGAACTTTGGTATTAAACCTAGTGGACTTTGGTATTAAATTTAGTGGACTTTGGTATTAATGTTAGTTGACTTTGGTATTAAATCTAGTCGACTTTGGTATTTAATCTAGTGGACTTTGGTATTTAATCTAGTGGACTTTGGTATTTAATCTAGTGGACTTTGGTATTTAATCTAGTGGACTTTGGTATTTAATCTAGTGGACTTTGGTATTAAATCTAGTGGACTTTAGTATAAAATCTAGTGGACTTTGGTATTAAATCTGGTGGACTTTGGTATTAAATCTGGTGGACTTTGGTATAAAATCTAGTGGACTTTGGTATTAAATCTAGTGGACTTGCGTATTAAAGCTAGTGGACTTTGGTATTAAATCCAGTGGACTTTGGTATTAAATCTAGTGGACTTTGTTATTAAATCTGGTGGACTTTGTTATTAAATCTAGTGGACTTTGGTATTAAATCTAGTTGACTTTGGTATAAAATCTAGTGGACTTTGGTATTAAATCTGGTGGACTTTGGTATTAAATCTGGTGGACTTTGGTATTAAACCTAGTGGACTTTGGTATTAAATTTAGTGGACTTTGGTATTAATGTTAGTTGACTTTGGTATTAAATCTAGTGGACTTTGGTATTAAACCTACTGGACTTTGGTATTAATTCTAGCGCACTTTGGTATAAAATCAAGTGCACTTTGGTATAAAAGCTAGTGCACTTTGGTACAAAATCTAGTGGACTTTTGTATTAAATCTAGTGCACTTTAGTATTAATTCTAGTGCACTTTGGTATAAAAGCTAGTGCACTTTGGTGTAAAATCTAGTGCACTTTGTTATTAAATCAAGTGGACTTTGGTATTAAGTCTAGTGCACTTCGGTATAAAATCTAGTGCACTTTTGTATAAAATCTAGTGGACTTGGGTATTAAATCTAGTACACTTTGGTATTAATTCTAGCGCACTTTGGTATAAAAGCTAGTGCACTTTGGTATTAATTCTAGCGCACTTTGGTATAAAAGCTAGTGCACTTTGGTGTAAAATCTAGTGCACTTTAGTATTAATTCTAGTGCACTTCTGTATAAAATCTAGTGGACTTGGGTATTAAATCTAGTACACTTTGGTATTAATTCTAGTGCACTTCGGTATAAAATCTAGTGCACTTTAGTATTAATTCTAGTGCACTTTGGTGTAAAATCTAGTGCACTTTTGTATAAAATCTAGTGGACTTGGGTATTAAATCTAGTGGAATTTGGTATAAAATCTGGTGGACTTTGGTTTAAAATCTAGTGGACTTGGGTATTAAATCTAGTACACTTTGGTATTAATTCTAGCGCACTTTGGTATAAAAGCTAGTGCACTTTGGTATAAAAGCTAGTGCACTTTGGTGTAAAATCTAGTGCACTTTAGTATTAATTCTAGTGCACTTCGGTATAAAATCTAGTGGACTTTAGTATAAAATCTAGTGCACTTTAGTATTAATTCTAGTGCACTTTGGTGTAAAATCTAGTGCACTTTTGTATAAAATCTAGTGCACTTTTGTATAAAATCTAGTGGACTTTGGTATTAAATCTAGTGGACTTTAGTGATCCGAAATTTGCTAAAGAAACATGTTACTGTTTAAATTATTACAACTTGTACATTACACACAAACAAAACAGAACTTAGCCATATATAAAATGACTTAATTGTTACTCCATTAGATACGGAACCAAACATCTACTAGCACATAGTACCTCCAACACTGACCAATACTCTCTCTAGCATTTACCATTTACCAGAAAAATCCTTATGACTAATGCCTGTATATATCACAATGTATCACAATTATGATACAGCCTTGTAGTAGACAGTGTTGTGATCACAGGTATCTGGTATCCTCTATATGCTTCGAGCAATATTGAGAACACTTACTACCAGTACTTAGTATCTGTTTTGAAATTATAACTGTTTCCTTTCGTAAGAAAACCTATAGCAATCATTCCATTGTTTTTTGGGAAAACTTAAAGAACATTCTCACTTTAAACTAAAAGGTGATTTTGAAACTTCAGACATTCAGAGGACTGTTATTCTCTTGGTTGTACTTCCAAATATATATTCCCCGTCTCTTTTATGAGGTAATCTGCAGACACCAGATACTTGGCAGGCATCATTGTACAATTATCTATAAGGTATATCAAAAAACCTTACTTTGAAATTCAAATAGTAATCCAAGATTGCAATTAGTGTTTTTAACAAGTACTGAAATAGTTCCACTACTTTTTAAATCATCTCCCTTTACCTCAAAAATTAAGAACTTGCTTACATTGAAGATTCTTTTGAAGTGAAATTGTAAACCAGGATTTTTGTATAATATCACCAAACTGTTATTTTTGTGTAAAGCTAAATAAATGTGGTTCCCTAACCATAATACAATAGCTAAACTACTTAAACAATAGCCACGTGGTTATGGTTTTCCTAATAAACTACAAAACTGTTAATGCATTGATACATGTATAGGTTTATTCACCATCTACTTTAACAGTAAGTATACTCCAACACAATGGACTCATCAATGTATAACACTCTATGGCAAATAGACCTGTAAAGATACTCCAACACAATGGACTTATCAATGTATTACACTCTATGGGAAATAGACTTGTAAAGATACTCCAAAACAATGGACTTATTAATGTATTACACTCTATGGGAAATAGACCTGTAAAGCTACTCCAACACAATGGACTCATCAATGTATTACACTCTATGGGAAATAGACCTGTAAAGATACTCCAAAACAATGGACTTATTAATGTATTACACTCTATGGGAAATAGACATGTAAAGATACTCCAACACAATGGACTTATCAATGTATTACACTCTATGGGAAATAGACCTGTAAAGATACTCCTATACCATGAAGATACCAGTGCATTACAGTCTATGGGAAATGAAACAGTTGTAAGTCATCAACATATTACAGTCTATGGAAAATACATATGTCAAGATATTCCAATACAGTGTAATCATCAATTTATTACAGTCTATGGGAAATAGATATATAAAGTATTCCAACACAATGGATTCATCAATCTATAACAGCCTATGGGAAATATATCTGTAAAGATAATCCGACAAAATGAAGAAGTCTATGGGAAAATACCTGAAACCTTTATCCATATGTCACAGTACTCACTCTGATTCTGACTTTCCCACAGAGAGCTCCCATCCTATCCTCCAACCACATGACCCGCTTACGAGCCTCCATAATGTCCCCATTTTCATGTTCAAGGGCATTCTCAAGATCTTTTCTGGCATGATGTAGCTCAGAATCAATTTTATACAAAATCTGAAATACAATTTCACAAAAATTATCATTTAATACATATCAAATGGTGTCATAAATTACTGTAAACCATAAATTAGTACAGTATATGTATTCATGCTAAAATCAGAAGGATTTGTCTACCTATTGATACATGTTATTGAAAATATATTGCAGGAGTTTCAAAATAATAAGTAGGAACAAAAACTAAACCGTAACAAAAGGCCCAAGGACCTTAAATCACACACCTGGTTATTTCCAATGTCAAAAATCAGTCATTTTGGAAGGCAGCCCCCAAGAGGGTATGCCTCGTCACTTTTTATTACATTTAATCCCCATTGGCTAAGGATGTTAGTATGTATTACAATTAGTGAAAGGCTGTTGATCGATTATAATCGAAAATTGATTGGTTTGCTTTTTCCAATTTTACTAAGCTTCTCAACCCCAAAAAGTGTCAGCCCCTTTAAATTGTACATTTATAATGTTGATCCCCATGGCCTAATGATGCTAGGAATAAGATGTAAGTAGTGATGAATTCTACATAGAGGTTTGGGAGAAGATGTCATTTAAAGCAAGATCTAACGAATGACAAACAACAAAGCACCACCACCTAAGCTCAACCCAGTACAATAAAACCAAATGAAAGTATCCCTAGTCAGCTACCCTAATCGATTCAGAATTATTTGTACAGTTTAATGCAAAGCCTCAACTCCGTACATTTTTTATTTATTTTTTATCATTTTTGCTAAAATGTATAGTAATTTTTGACTTGTCGTTTTACAGTTACTTAATTCATGACTACTGATGATTTATATCATCAACACTTTATTAATATAGGTTTAATTATGCATGTTATGTAAATTATGTTAGAATGTTTCACCTACCAAAGTAATCATATTATACACTGTATCGATTAAACAGCAAGGTTTATTTTATTTAAGTGAAACAAAAAACTGTTTTGACCTAGCCTGGTATTTGCCATGTGCCTGCACACACCTGTAGCACTAGAATGGCTGAGTCTCCTTTATCTCGCGCTGCCTGGGCCTCAGCTCGTAACTGATCAATCTCCTCATCAGTCTTAGCATTCTCCAAATCTAGTAAAATTTGCTGCAACGTGTTGTGGGCATTTTTCACAGTCTCAGTCTTCAATGAAACATATAATAAGCATGATTTTCAACTATAAACATTTTTTTCCTTTTTAAATAAACAAGCCAAGTATTTGATTAAATGGTTTTTTATGTCATGTTAGTTTAATAATGATTGTAAACATAAATCTAACACACACCTGTTCAGCCAGAAGGATATCAGAGCGATGCTGAACGGAGTATTTTGGCTGCAATGTAGTTCCACTGCGGAACGTCTTAGGCCGGTCATAAATTCCGGATTCTGGCATTTTGTTCTCATCTGAAAAAAAGTTATGTTTTATTATAATTGTTTATAAGTATTATTAGTATTTAATAAGTGTTTATGCAAAGTGTAAGTTGGACTACACACTTTACTTTTTCACAAAAGTGCTTAAGTTATAAGCAAAGGGAATGCAAATGAGAATCAACTTGCATTGATTAATAGAATCTTCCCTACCTTGTGGGTGACAGAGAATTCTCCAACCTGAGCAGTGATTATCAGTCTAACCCGAGGCTCTACTGAGGGTTGGAGAGCCTCTGGCTAGACAACCAAATAATCAAAAATGGTAAAATGAGCGACACACCTGTGAAAGGCTTGGAGAAAAGTCCAAGAAACACCTAGCTTAAAGAAAACAATTATCAAACATGCAAGTGACTGGCATATTCAATATAGAAATATCAAGTACTTAGCTATTGTACATGATTTAAAAATTACTGACATCTCCGAATACTGGAATACACCAAAAATAAAAAATACTGATACATACTAAATATACATGATTGTCTATATACTCCCATACAACTAAGTAATAAGTTAGCTAATCTAAGACACTGTTGGGTTTTTTTAACTATCACCTCACTAAATCCAGCTAAAACATATTACACATTCAAGACAGCGTGCATACTGGCATGATTTATCTTACCCATATATGTCTTCAGTGTAAGATTGTACATACCCGGATTACCGGTATGCAATTATCAGCACATTTTAATCAAACGTACAGGTCTTCCATATTTTTTGACTAATTTTATTATATATATATATATTAACATATATAAATGCATAAGATAACAGGCTAGGCCTACATCAATAATATCCATATCAACTTTCCTGAACAACACCTCAGCTATAAAATATAATCTATTCATGACTTCTTCTAAACAGATACATTGAACCACTCCTATGGAAATATAGGATCTTACATCAGTTTCCATTTCATATGAGATTTTATGAAACGAGTCGAAGGACTTTTCAATCTAGCGAGCTTCTGGAGAGCTAAAATGAAAAATTTGTGACAAGTTTCTTAAATTTCATATGAAATGAAAACTAGTGAAAGATCCTTTTTATCACATAATCAAGATTTGTGGCATTTGTTTGTGTAAAACAACAATATTCATGCAACCTTGAAATGTAAAAAGCTGCCATTTTGACTCCAGTGCGCAAGTAGTTCAGACATCAAATAAATTTTTTCCCTTAATTTTGGAGAGTCAGACCAAATTAATATATGTCACAAAATGTGCCTTAAGAAGCTATAATAGGCTTACCATTGGCGTCTACAACTATGTCAACTATGTGAACTATGTGAATGTCAATAAGACAGATTCTTTAAAAGTCAAAATTGCACCTTGTCTATACTAAAAGACAGCATGCCTTCTGTTTGACGGCATATCGATGCATCTATGCAATCACACAGGAGCCACTTTCCCAACACACAAAATCTTCATCTTAATCTGTTAGACTTCATCCATCGACACCGACAATTACGGAAGTAGGGTCGTTGTGCTATTGTGCGTTAATTATGTACAGTGATTATTTTTTTTATTTTTTTTTTTATTTGCTATAGGATAAAAACAGGTTAAAAGCAGTGAGTGAGTGTTAGTTATGCTGTGTAGTTTTTGTATATGTTCCATTATGTTGTATGTGGTGCATGTCCTGAATTCTGCTAGTGTTTCTGATTGAATTATTGTTGTGGGTAGGAGGTTCCATTGTATTATGGTGTACGGAAAGAATGAGTGTCTGTACGTGTCTTTGGATGTGTAGATATGTCTGTAACTAAGGTCGTGTCCTTGACGTGTTCTGGCTTCTGCCGGGATGAGATTGTTAGTGTGTATTGCTACTTGTTGGTGTATTATTTTGTAGAGAAGAATAATGCGTGTTCTTGTTCTGCGTGTGTGTAGTGTTGGCCATTGCAAGTTATGTATCATGTCTGTGACTGAGCTTGTGTTATGGTATTTGTTTAGGACATATTGTGCTGCTCTTTGTTGTACTTTTTATAATTGGTTTATGTTATTTGTATAATGTGGGTTCCAAACTGAAGAGCAGTATTTGAGTTTTGGTCTTACAATGGACTTGTATGCATGTTCTTTTATGTGTGTTGAATTTATTTTTAGGTTGCGTTTCAGAAAGCCTAGTGTTTTAGTTGCGCTTGATGTGATGTTGTTAATGTGTTTGTCCCATTTTAAGTTGTTTTGAAGTGTGATGCCTAGATATTTGTTTGAAGTTACATATTCTAGTGTGTGGTCATGGAGTGTGTATTGGTGTTTAATTTGTATGCGTTTTGGTGATATAGTGAGTATGGTGCATTTGTCTGGATGGAATTTCATGAGCCAGTCCTCTCCCCATGATGTACTACTAAAGTCTGTTCGAACAACATGTAACATAGATGATATCTGAGATTGTAGTAGATTCTATCAGCTGACAGTAGTACATTTCATTAACCTGACCAGGATTTTGAATCCAGAAACTCATTATAGCTAGTTCTAGATGGGTGCATATATGTAGATTTATTCGAGTTATTAACACTGACCAACCTTCCCTGCAGATGGCTAGGGTTTGATCCCTGAAGTCATTTAGCAAAGTGTTTTTCTCCTAGTATTTCTGTATGGGCAAATGTCACCACCCAGGCACCCTAGGCCTGTTAGTTATTCAGAAGTCATTAAAGGATTTAATAAATTTGACCTCCCTGTGGTGACGGGGAGTTAGAACCTGCATGGGTTCTTGAAGTCTTCAAGGGCGAACCAAGGGGGAGGGGGACTAGTGTGGCAGATTTCAATTGTACATAGGATTGCACTAGTGCTAAAGGGAATTTCCCGTTATAGCGCAGTGGTAGAGCGTCCGACCGGCGCGTCTAATTACCCAATACTACCCAATACCACCCAATACTACCCAATACCACCCAATACTACCCCATACGACCCAATTATGAACCAAATACTTCTTTATTACTGTGAAATATCACCTTTGTAGACGTTATTTACTTCCATCTGCCATATTTTATCGGGAAATATGCGATTTGGTGCCGAAAACATCACCGAATTGCCGTGACTATGACC